GGGGGGCTCGTGTCGTGCGTGGGCTTCCTCTGTTGCACAACAAGACACTCAGCCTGATGGATGTCGCTACCGCGACTCTCCATCAATATTAATGTCACGGCCCCATCGTCACACTGCGAAACTATTAGCCGACGACATCAACTGGCGGGCGTAGTCTAGCAGTGTAGCCAAGATTGTGGCCATCGTCCACACTATCAGCGCCGTTTACTATTGCTTTTAAAAGTAGATAGAAAAAAGAACAAATTGGTGTTGATGCTACGACGGGGAGCCGCGCTATTCGCTTTTCAGTCTCGCCGCACTATTAGATATTGATAGAGCACCGTCCATCTCACCCCGCTGTCCCGCGCTCTACTACCTCCCCACCTTCCCAGCGCTCACTCCCTTCCCCTTCCCTACTATCTCCTTACAGGTGGATTTATACGGACGTTTTACGATCAATCGTAAAATTTACAAGTGGCGGTTGGTTTCTGCTAAGCGCGGCGGCGTCACACCGATGCAGTCCGACCGACTGCACGTTTCCGAAACCCTTGCTTCGCTCACTCTCTCCCCCCCCCTCTCTCTCTCTCTCTCTCTCTCTCTCGAAGACCGACCGTCTTCGCGGCGTAATGCGAGAAAAGCATTATATCGCTCCTTCCAATCGACAACATTGTAACTCTATCCTTCTGCTTGCGCCACGCATGTGCAGAGAGAGAGAGAGAAATAGAGAGAGAGAGAGAGAGAGAGAGAGAGAGAGAGAGAGAGAGAGAGAGAGAGCAAAGAGAGGAAGTGTCATGGCGGGTGGCCCCTCTAACCGCAGTGGCGCCGCGACACTCGCCAACCAGCTGGAATTAACGCCCTTCTCGTCTGATTGGCATTAGCATTCGCCGGCGAAAGGCTGCAAAGGCGGTGGGAACGCACAGCCTTGTACAAGTAGTCGACTCGCTCTATTTGCATGAGGCAGCACGGTCATTAACGGTCGTTAGTTATTATTTTTTATTTTATTTTTGTTGCAGTGTATACCTGGCGCAGCGGCGGCCAATGGGCTGCTCCATTCACCGAGAACAGACTTACAAACAATGCGGTAAGCAATACTCGTTTATAACTACTTTTTTTTTCTCTTGCAAAACACGGGAGAGGGACTTATAACAGGGGGTTCAACGGCACAATACCTCTGTGCTTCTTTCCCTTCACCCCGCATCGACTTTCCCAGTTACGGCCTGTTTGCGCTCCGAACCACAGGCATTAAAGGTGCTGCCAATTTCGAACACGAAATTGTCTGCTACCTGAATTGCAGGATGTTGGACGTAATGATGTAATATTGGCGCTCAGAGGAAAAACATGATGCACAAGAGTCTTGGACCCAGTCTCTAGCTCCGTGCATTCAAGTCTCTTATCGCCCGTCTATGACATCGATTTCCAAAGTCGAGACAATCAATCCAGAAATTAATTTGCAAAGCCGTCTCTTGGAAGAAATGTGGGGAGATGGAGAGAGAGAGAGAGAGAGAGAGAGAGAGAGAGAGAGAGAGAGAGAGAGAGGGAGGCACGCGAACAAGTAAGAAGTAAGTTGGGCGGGAAACTTCTGGGGGAGCCAGATGCACTTGATGGCGTCCAAATGAGCCACTTGGTATGCGCTCCGGTCGGCGCGGCTCGACACGGCACGGTGTGACAGCCGCCTCCGAAGCGCGAGGACAGGCGCGGGGCGCATGGACGGCGGCGGCCTACCCTCACTCCGGACGCAGCCCGGCAAGAGAGGTGAGACGCACGGGGCTCAACATCCTCACGGGAGTTGTGAGCGAAGCCGAGTGAAGAGGAGGGGCTTGGTTATCAACCCACGCCCGCCGTGAGCGTTTGTGCGCGCGCGCGCGTGTGTGCGTGTGTGTGTGTGTGTGTGTGGCGGCACAGGTCCTTTTGTGTCGCCGGATGAAGCGATGCATGGCGGAGAAGGGCGGGAGAGCGCAAGCGACTGACGGAGAGAGAGAGAGAGAGAGAGAGGGAGGTTGGTGGAGGTGTGTCGTAGGCGGGGGGAGGAGTGGGGGGAGGATGCGGCGTGTCGCGTAGCGTGGGCGGTTAGAATATCCCGGAAACAGGTAGCTTCAAAATAGTATTTTTAGCAGATGATACGTAGTAATCAGCAGCTTGTACTCAAGTAAAGTGCAAAAGTCCGTTTGTTAGTTTAGCAGATGATACGTAGTAATCAGCAGCTTGTACTCAAGTAAAGTGCAAAAGTCCGTTTGTTAGTTGAAGCGTGAAGTTGTCAGTTGTCAGCGTCAAAAGCAGAAACGCCGTAGTGCTGCCAGCCGGACGCCGTAGCGCTGGCAGCCGAACGTGGAGCGGTCCGGTCCAGCCAGCAGCCAGCCTAAAATATTGGGGGAGTGCGGGAAAAGCCGTGCTCGCGTGCTCCGTCGGTCGCTGCTGTACTGCACCGCGTCCCGACGCGACGGCTCGACG